AAAAAAAAGGATGCGCACCAAATACCTTGTCCCGCAAGGACTAGCCAACTGAACTCTTTGATCTTATCCACAACAACTATAAATAATTCCGAACGCGTAATCAGCGGCGCTGACTGTTAAACACTCACCTACTGTAAAGGTAGTTCCAACAAGAAACAAAGGTGAAGGGATAAAAAGACAAATCAAATGGCTCTTAAAAAACTGAATGTGCTGAATAAAGAGAGAAGCAGTATTGGCGGTAGACAAATACATCGACGAAATTCGAAGAAGCGAATGAAAAACGGTTACAGAGTTCACTTGGGTTCTGCGCAGCTCGAAAACAAGAAAGAGGACAGCTTTGTCGCCGAATACGACTGACGCACATATAAGAGGGGAAAAAAAGAAAAGGTTATGGAATAAAAACTAATTATTCACAAGCTCACTTTGGGATAAGAACACCAGAAACTCGACAACTGTTCAGGAAGAATTATGAGTAGAACAATTAATTGATCGATTAATGATGAAGAAAACTTCTCTAACCAACCTTTCCCTATTCATCGCAATTTCCCTATCCTTTTCTCGGGTATTTTCAATATCTTCAGTTTGTCCAGTAGCTGCAGCTTGTTTCCTTGCTGCCTTCTCTATAACGGCTTTCAATTCTTCCTCCTAAGTAGACGTAATTTAATCGCACCATAAACGCCAAATTTCCACAAAGAAGGATCACCTCTCGTTTCTTCGCTTCTTGCGCTTTTTCAAGCTTACGAATGATACGATGTTCATTTTCTTGCTCGATTCGTTTCTTCAGCTTTCTGAAACAGGAAAAAATCATTCTACTAAAGCAAACCTCGACGCAAGAACCTACTTCTTCTTAGGAGCCTCTTTCTTCAACATCTCCAATTCTGCACCGGTCTTCTGTACAAGTCGGTGATACAATACCTCACCCTCATCAATACCGTCTTCAATTTTTAGCAATTCAAGTTTCAGTCGAGGTCCAATCTCCATCAGGCTAAAACATACAGGGTTATGGAGATTATCTGACAGATGAGATATAGACATACCGCACATGACTTTTTTCTCCTCTTACAGTACCACCTTGTTCACTGATGTTCTGCGGCAATATAATTTCCTGCTCTTCTCCCTCATATTCGCTGTCGCTCAAATGCCCGGGACTGAATAGAGACCATTGAAACAGCGATAACAAGATAGGTAATAAACTAACTTTAACAGATAATCAGCGATATCATTATATTTCGATAGATCTGGCAACTCTTTGGTAGTAGATTTACCAGCAGTTATTAACTTCTTCACAGATTTGTTGATTCCAGCAGCTACGGCTCGAATCGAACTGAATTACCCAGAATAGTGATTATTTCTGTGAATTCAAAGTAAACATACTAATGTCGAATATCTATGGTATCGTCTTCTTCCCAATAGTTTACCATTAGACAGCGTTTGACAGATCGCAAATCGAGCTA